GGCAGTGTTTCGTTCTGCTGTGCATGAGGTCGCTATGAGTCGGAAACGACTTGAAGGCACTTAAGAACAACAACAACAACATTGGCAGTCCATGGTATATTCAATATTCTTCACCAACACCATACTTCAAGGGTATCAATTGTTCAGTTTTCCTATTACAGTATTTGCTAATTTTGTGAAACTATCTACATATTCAAACTTTCAGTTATTTACTAGAAATATTCCTCCTGTTTGAATACAATAATATACATCTTTAAGGGCTAAAACTGGAGGGAAAAACAAACAAACAAAAACAACCCTCACTGCTATCCAGTTGAATCTGACTCATAGTTTTAACATCTGCAATAAATATTTCTAAAAACCCCTTCCAGGAAGGTCCATGGGCTCAGCCTGAGACTGACGCCTTGCCACCTCCCAGCCTCACAGGGAACAATAGGTGAGGCCTTCCACTGTGAAGAGTTTCGTGACTACCTAACTTTTCTGAGCCTGATTCCAGTTATATGCCATTCCTTGTTTTCATAGCCTGGAAATAACTTTTCGGCAGCCTGGTAATTCTTCTACTTCGTCTAGTGAGGGCGTTGGAAAGATTTGAAATTACTTTGCATTATCTGTAAATGGGAAGTTCTAAGTCTTCGGTCTCGCCTTCGTCCTACTCCCCACTCCCAACACCCACGTCTGTTATTTTTCAATTAAATGGAGCTCTGAAGGAAAATCCCTCTAGAAGAGAAAACGAGTACGTACAAGGTAAATTTGGAAAGCTTTTCCCAATTCTCTTGCTTCTCTTCTATTCTTCTGTCACTCTCCTTTCCTCCCTTTCTCCTCCTACTAAGGTCCTTATAGTTGAGGGTTCCTCCTACCAGCAGCGCGGGCCCCACCCTGCAAATTGAATCGGGTAGGCGCCTGCATTTGTAACGGACAAGTCTGCGCCTGGCTGCTGTTTCCCGCGGGTGGGCGCAGACCAGGCCAGCCAAGGACTGGCATTTCGTGTCCACGCGTCTCCTCCACACCGCTCTCCAAAGCTCCCAGACACAAAGGCCTCCTGAAGGAAATTCTCATTTTCGGGAGGCGCTTGGTGGGGGCAGTTTTGGTTTTTGAGACTTCAGTAGTCCCATCGCCCCCTCTACCCAACAGAAAACAGAAAGAGCCCGCGCTCACGCACAAGGACTGGGGAAGCCAGGGTGCAGCGCCAGGCTCTCGTGCTTCTCAGAGCCCTCGGGGCCCAGTCTTCAGATTCTAGTTCCTCCGTTCCCTTAGCCTTTTCTGGGCTTCCCTCACCCAGGGACTCAGGGCCAAGAATTTTTGAGAACTGGAAAGCTTCCCCACCCATGGCACACCAAACGCACCCAACCAGAGACTGTCATTGGCAAGGAAAGCTAAGAAAACGGACTGTAGACGCTGTCTGGGGTTAGATTGCCCCAGGTCCAGGGACTGGGCTGGCTGGGGTGTTTCTTTTCTTTCTTTTTCTGGATGGTGCAAAGCACAAAGGATGGGCTCGATTTCTAGAGTTCAGTGATACAAGAATCTCAAATTAAGTTCTCCTCTTACTCTTCCACTTCAGTGAATGGGTCGAGGCCTCGCAGCCTGTGATTTGGGGTGCTCGGCCCTGACTTCCGCGCTGATGAGAGCACCTGAACTGAGAAGAGCTGGAGGGGGCAGAGCCTTGTATAAGTCAGTTGCAGCGCAGAGTCCTTCAGGGCCCTTGGAGAAAGAGTTCAATCACCTTACCCTCCCCTCACAGTTAATCGTGCTTGTGTTTTCCCCCTTAAGTAGGCCGTGAAGTCAACAAACTCCCCACATGGTGGCTCCCTTTACTAAAGTTGAGTGGTGAACTTGTAGAAGGAGTCTTGGAAATTTTCAACTATTTCTATGGATTGAACTTATTCCAGAATTCGCGTGGGAGGTAAGAGTCAGGATTTTAATGGAGTTCACCTTTGACGTGAGGCACGGCAAAAGACAGAAAAGCTACAGTTGGTAATAGCTTTGGATGCTTTAGAAAGAAAGACATCTTCGCTAGATTATCCGATCATGTTCACCACTGGCTCTTTGTGTGCGCGCTTACTCCAGAGACAGAGCTGAACACCAACATACGCATATAAACACTCCAACATAAATCAACGAACATATGCAGCAGAGACAAGAAATGCATCCTCATGTAGATGTAGTTTGAAGCTTTATTCCAGGCAGGCCATCTGGAGCATCGCCAGAAATAAAACAAGAGGAAGGGGGCAGTTCCTAGCCACACATGGCCAGGAATAAGCAAAACTTTGGCTTCTTGGAGGAAGTATTACATCTCAAATAAGAGAGCGGGAATGGCATTGAAATGAGAAACAGTGTAATTTTATCTTAAAAAAGCAAGCAAGACCAATATAACTTACTTAAATGTTACATCCAAATCATAGTAACAGGAAACACTCTCACTAAATTGTCATTTCCTCTATTCTTTGTTTAAGAACCAAATAATTAAAATGCGCACTAATGGTTATTGATGGCTCTATTTCCTTTTTAAAAGAAATGGACCCTGGTTCTCTTACTGAAGTAGAAATCTACGAATCTTCTTACATGACACTAGGACTTGGGAGCCTCATTGTGGATGTGGTTTTTGCTTATTGCTTTTCTCGTCACACGTCATTTCCAGTTTTTTTTTTTTTTTTTGTAATCCCCAATGGTGGGATACCCGTTAGGAACCCTCAGCCAGTGAACTTGTACTGGAAATCCGTGTGCTTTCCCAGTCTGTATCCCCAGAACTCAAGTTGTAAATAAAGTGGGAAAAGACATTATATCTCACCTCTAAATTCTTAAAAATTTCAATTTTTTGTGTGAAACACAATTTCAATTTTTGAAAACAGTAAGAGTCACAGAAAATGTGAAGGTCTCCAAATAGGCAATGTAGAGATTTTAAAACCAGGACTAAGGGGAGACTTCGAAAGCTAATCACTCAAATCTAGGCAGTGATCAGGGACTGTTCCTGTCATTGAGAGCATTCATGGACACTGCAAGGGGGACACACATTTGAAAAGAAGGGTGATATGATAATCAAAATCGCCACATTAATGGCACCACTGCCAAAGCTTCACATTTAGAGTCTGGTGAAAAGAAAACCAGTGGTTATTACCGACGTTTGCAGCATCTGCTAACAAACAGTTCAGCACCCAGAACTTGGACAGCTCCAGGGGCAGCGCTCAGAACACAGCTTTAACTCTAATCAATCTACTCAGCCAGACTGTCAACAACGACCAGACTCATTGGAGATTTACTGAAAATCCTCCAAGACTCCCCTTTGAAAACAAAACGACTTCCACATTTAATTGTCTATCTGGAAGGACATACCCAAGAAATTAGGAGATTTAAATTAAATTTATTAATAGGAAAGCTTGGTGGTGCTTAATTCCAGAGACAAGAGTTCTGTTTGGTGGGGTTTGAGGAAAAAGTAAAGAGAAGCAGTAGGTGCGTAGTTAAAAGCATGACTTCTACTATTGTAAAGATTCTATGAATTCTTTACCCATCCTTGAGAAATGAGTGATATTGAAAACCTTAAAAATAATTGGACTTTTAAAAAATTGGATTGTATGAGTGAAAGGTGTTTATGAGAAGTAGATGACTCCGGATCTTATCATCCAAAAGGACAGCACAGAATAGTTAAAATGTTCCTTGAGGGACTAGGATGCTGACGTCTTTTTCTGATACCCGATCATTACGTGACTGAAAGAAAAAAAAAAAAGGAAGTCATTTCATGAATAAAAATCGAAGCGCAACAGTGCAACAAAATATTCTGCACTTAAAGGCAATAGGCAGACAGATGTTGTCAAAGAGGGCTCTCTTAAAACCATGTTCAGATAGATTCTTGCTAACTGCACATATAAATACAAGCAGAGGGCCGGTCACCTCTGTAACCACCAGCAGCAGCAGAAGAAGCCACAGCTTCAGACGCAAGCAGAGGCAGCCCATCGAGAAGGCGCTGCCGACCCGCGCAGCTGCCTGACCCGGCGGCTCCCACCGACGCTGGTGTGCCGCGGGCCTCCCTCCCTCCTACCTCCCCTTCTTCTCCGACTTTCCTTCTTTTCTTCTTTCTCCCGGTGGACTTGCCGCCACTTGCCTCCTTTTCTCTTTAGCTTGCTCCGTCCTCGCCCATCCTTCTATCTGTCTCTTTTCGGCCCCTTCTCGGTGTCACGCTGCCTTTTAGTTCCGTGCGTCTGCAAACTTTTGAACAGAATATTGGTCTCGGCAAACAAGCCCTCCAGCTCCTCCAGCTCGCTCCTTCGTCTTCTCCTCAGACACCAGCGCCAGACGGTGATGCCTCTTGGGTTGTGACTCTAGCGCAGAAACTTGGAGCCCTTTGCCTGCCGTCCTACTTGGCAGCAAACCCTCTCCTCACAGCTTAAGAGTTGAATGGTAAGGGGGGAAAAATCATACCGAACAACTCACTTGACTGCTGATTCTTTTGCCTGCACCAGGAAACGAGTTCGCTTTCCTTCGCACCAGGTCTAGCGAGTTATTGGGCATTGGATGTGTGTATAATGTTTTTTTCTCTTCCTAACTATAGCGAGGAAGTGGCAGGGCGCGCGCGTTGGCTGTCACTAAGAGGTATTCAGCACTGGGCGCCCGAGCCCCTCTTCCTTCCTCCCCCAGCTCGGGGAGTTTCTGTGGGGCCAAAGGTGGAGGGGCAGGGGCGTTCTGACGGCTGTATGCCCTCTTTCCTGTCCTGCTCAGAACGACCATGTGTAGTGGAGCGAGCCTGGCCTTGCTGGTCTACGGGATAATTATGCACAGCAGCGTCTACTGCTCACCTGCCGCCGCTGGTCTGCAGTTCCCCGGGATCAGGTAGGTGCTGAACACCCGGGACGAGCCGAGGCGGGGGCTTCCTTCCCCGGATGCCTCCTCTCGGTCACCTTCCTGCAGTTCTCCGGGTACAGCTAGGACACCTCCCTCCGCCCACCAGTGCCTGGGCTGGGCCTCGGGTCCTGGCCTCAGCCGGAGGGCAAGGCGAGCTCCGCCGCGGCCGAGCGCCCCTCCCCCAGCCCACTGCCGGCGAGGGGCCCCGGCCCCGGGAGCGCGCGCAGGTCGGAGAGAGATCTCCCCTCCCCCAGCCCCGCCCGCCGGAGGGGAGGGCTAGGGCAGAGCCTGGCTGCTTTTTCGATTCTCCAGCTGAGTTAGGAAAACTTCGGATTCCAGAGCCAGATCCAGGGTAGAGGGTAAAGCTACAGCGGACTTTGCTTTGTTACAGCTACTTCTGGATTATGGGGGCGAAGTCTCCTTTTCTTTCTTCCGCCCTCCCTCTACCTCAGTTTAGAATTCTTCCCACTGGAAGGGCTTGCTCTCAAATGATCCATATTCCAGCTGCACCTAGAGTCTCAGATTGCCTTAGGGAGGAAGGTGGTGAACGGGGATGGTAGTGACTTGAAAGAAGGCAGACCCAGAATGAGTCTGCTAGGGAGTGGGAGAAACGGATGCCAGGAAGGAGGAAGAGAAAGCCTGCAAGCAAGCAAGCTAGCTGGACCGAGACAGCCGTGCCTGCCCCTGGTTGAGGAACTCTAGCTTTTTTCCTAACCCTGACGCTGCCTGGGCGCCCAAGCCGCAGCCCCACAGTTCCCGGCTGTTCAGCCAGAGAGTGGCAGCGCGCTTTGCAGCGCAGCGTCCTCACCCTGCGGCTCTGGGTGGGGAAGAGCGCGCCTTCTGTCGGCGAAGCAGCTTCTCCGAGCAGCGCCGGAGAGCGTTCGCTTTCGGGGCCGCTGAGCATTGATTTGTTCGGAAAGATGGGTTCAGTATTACGAACACAGCATCTAGGCGCGGGATAGGGCAGAAAGTGTCCTAGGGCTCCCAATATCTGGGCTGGAGCTTAGGAGCGTCGCCGAAGAAAGGCTGGGTGCGGGACGAGATGCCCTCGCCTCTCCAGAGACGGCTGGAAGGCGAGCCGAGCTGGAATCCTAAGAAGTGAGGAATCCAGGCCCACTAAGAAAGCGCTACTTGCCCTGGCTACATTGCAGGCGAGTGGTTTAACACACTCCTCCGGATGGAGCCAGCAGGCGAGAGAGTCTCTGGGGCTGCAGCGCGCCCGCTAGCTCTCGGTCCCTTGTTGATCTCAACTCTCAACTGCTCCTTTCCTGCGACCCGGAGCTGAGATGGGGCCCCCCGGGCCGCCATCGCGAACAGAAGAGCCGAACTATTAATTTAGTGAATTTTAAAAACGCCCCTATTTTATCCCCAGGAGGTTTCGAAGGCCGGTGTAGCTAGAGACACCGGAGGGCGCGGGCAATACACAGAATGAGACTCCGCCAAACTGGTTAAGTTTAGGGGCATCTATTATTCATATTCCTGCCAGATCCTCTCCCGCCCAAAATAGAAGCCGGAACTTCTCCATGACCTACATCTGCGCTGAGAAGAGCTCCCCTGGGTTCCGAGGCTGCTAGAGTTGGCCGCCGCACACCCCACCCGTTCTTCCACTCTGTTCGGCTTCGGGTCACCCCTTCGGGTCTCCTAGGGCCTTTCTCGTCCCCGCCCGCTGCTCCGTGGGGGAAGGCTTGGGTGCCAGGAGTGACAGTGGCCTGTTCTTTTTGTTGGCCAGGTGTGGTGTGCGGTCGGCGAAGACGCCTCGGCTCTTTGAAGCTGCAGCCTTGCAGGGCGACCCACTACCTGAGAGAGGAGCAGTGGAGGAGCTGCTTGGGGTGGGGGTGGGGGGTTTCTGTCGGATGTAGTTCCCTCTTAACTCCACCCCATCCCTATCCCAGAAGAAGAGACAAATCTCCAAGGGGATCTTCACGAAGAAGGAAAACAAGGGCGAGCCCCCCTCTCGCCCCTGGGTCTTTGCAGCGCGGAGAGAGTTGCACTGACCACTCATTCTGACCCCGGTGCCCCGCAGGCCGGAGGACGAGGTGTACGACGAGGACGGAAACCCGCTGCAATACTTCTATGACTCGGACCCGCCTGGCATAGGGAGCCCCGCCTCCGCACTTCAAGACGCGTCGGCGCTCTACTCCACCGCCGAGAGGAGGTAGGGCCAGCGCGGCCTCAGCGCCCAGGGCGGGGCGCCCCAGGACTGAGGCGGTTGGAGGGGCGGCGCGGGGGTCGGCCGCGGAGTTTCTGTTTGATAAAAACCCTCAATCTTATTTTCTTCCTGGCGGGTTACTAAAGAAGGAACAGAACGTTAGTTGCGGGAGGGCTTGTGTGTATCGGAGTTCCTGCGTGGGGGCCAAGAGGTCTGTGGCCCAATGAGTGGGACTGAGTGCGCACCCCGTCCAGAGGGGCGCCCAGACTCCTCACCTACCATTCCTGGAGGCCAGGACGAAGTCATGTTCCTGGCATTCCTTCTTGAACACCCCTAAGAGAGTTATTTCCGAGTTGTGTGCATCTGAGGGTTTCTGCGATCAGCCTCTGGGAGCATTGAGGGGCTTGAGCGCCCAGCAGGGTGACTTCGGGCAGCCACTAGGGGCCAGAGTCAGTGACCCTGGGCGCGCACTTTACCTTCCCGTTAGAGATGTCGCCCAAGGGATCCTTAACAAGGCCTACCGCAAAGTGCTGGACCAGCTGTCCGCCAGGAAGTACCTGCAGTCGCTCGTGGCCAAGGGCGTGGGGTAAGAGTTTCCGAAAGAATTAACCAGGGCGTGGTGGCGCGCGCGCTCTGGGGATGGTGTCCGTGCCGAGTGCGTGAGGGGTGGGCGGGGCGGGGCGGTTTCTACGTCCGTGCGTGCACGTGGGACCTGGCGTACTTCTGCGCCCAGTTGACTGCGGGGCTCTTTTCGGAAATTTTGGAGTGGCACCCGAAGTTTGGCGAGATCCCGGGGAAGGAAGGGGAGAAGGAGAGGATGAGAGAGGAGAACCGGGGAGTTTGATCCGTCTGAATTAAAAGAAAAATCAAACAAAAACCTCCAGTAATTTAAAACCGAAGAACATTGCGGGAGGAGTTGCTGTAATTTCCCCTAAGTGCAGTTTAAAAAAATGATTTCTTCTACTGTAAATTCAAATCGAAACAAATTCCCAAATTTAGACAATTAGGGAAACAAACAGCTTTTGCTCGTGCCAGACAAGCCCAGAGCACAGGGCTTGCGTAGAGCATATCTCAGCAGAAGGCAACATTTTAATAAAACCCATGGGAAAACAGATTACATTTTCGCAATGAATAATTCATGCGGTAAAAAAATATTGCCTACCGCCTGTCGACTTATATTATTATCACGTTTTTCAACTTAGTGTGGGGAAGGAGAATGCTGGTGTCTGACTAGGAACTACGGGATCGATGTACACTCCACAGCAGCAGTAGACAAGGTGGCATGTAGGGATCTTTGGTTATTTTCTCTGTACATAGGAGGTGAGCGGAACTGTTAGGACAATTCAGCGCAAACACACGAATGGTTAAATCTCAAAGCGTTTCTGGAGGGTTAGGCTTAAAAGGTTTAGGCCATTTGCCGGGACCTCATCCAGTGCCCCTTCTGTAAGGGTTTAGTGCCAGGAAACTCTCAATAGGGAGGGGGAGCTGAGGGGATGCCATCTCGGCCCTCCCTCTACCCGAATACTACCAGAGAAAGCAGGCACCGTGGATAGAGAGCCCGGAGCCTCCTTGAAGGCTCCTGCGTGGGGTGGGGCCCGCCTGCTCCTGGCAGCTACTGAATCTGTGTCTCCCATCCCGCCACCCTCTTCCGACCTCTCCCTTTGCAGGGGGAACTTAGGCGGCGGTGCAGACGACGACACGGAGCCGCTCTCCAAGCGCCACTCGGACGGAATCTTCACGGACAGCTACAGCCGCTACCGGAAACAAATGGCTGTCAAGAAATACTTGGCGGCTGTCCTAGGGAAAAGGTATAAACAAAGAGTTAAAAACAAAGGACGCCGAATAGCGTATTTGTAGCGATGAGTTACCAGATACTCTGTGTATACAACCCTAACACAATGAAAAGTCATTTTCAAAATTGAACAGTCATTGCTCATGTGTTCTATCCAAACATGTATTTATGTATGAAGTAAAGCCATTAAATGAATATTTTGATAATAATATTGTTTTTCTTTTGTACAGAGCACTAGAGAATGCACAGATATACTTTGTGGACCAATTATTGATATATATTATAAATATATATATATATTGGATATAGAAGTATATAGAGAGAAATTCATATAAAGTGTGCACAAGGATTGAAAATTTGCCTGAGCTGTTTATGTTTTTATATAAAATAAATAGAAAAATAGACAATCATTGTTTTGAATATTACTCCTATTTTTGTAAACTGGAATTAAAAGGATAGTATTTTTATCCACGACAGGCATGAAGATATTAATACTGACCATTTGTTACTGTACATAAATGATGATGTCCTGCTCCAGGGGGATGGTGAGGTGAAGATTTGGGAGAATTGCTGAAGGGCATTCTTTCCCCATGAATCCCTGGGGCAGATTGCTTCAATCCCAGCCTAACACAACCAGGCACTATCCCCCTTGCTGGGTGGCAATTCCAATATTTCTGCTTTCTTTGATTCCACTTTTAGGTGTATTTGTCTCTCTTCAAAGTCTCAGCCCAGAAGGAAATTCTCTTGATAACAACAACTCGATCCAAATTGAGCTTCTCCCCAGAATTCACGCCACTCCCTGGGAGAAGTGTTGGGGACTTGTACAGAGAAGGGAGGACGCTTGGGTTGAAGCCCCCTTTTCTGTACTTCCTGATTCACCAGAGAATTTAAAATCCCAAGGTTAGGGCAATTGGACAAAGCAAAGGAAATACAGGCATATGGAAGAAGCAGGGCATAAAGCAGTAGAAGGAGGACCCAGGAGGAACTGGCATGTGACTGCCCCAGGTCTGGCGAGCCAGGGCACACTGAGTTTCACTGCAGGTCTATTACTTAACTGACTTTGGGCGCAGGGTATTGGAAATGGATGCAAAGTACAATGTGTTTTTCTCCAGTGCTGTTCATGCTTCTCATCTTGTGACATGGCCAGGATCCTCCCCTTGGACCCTGCTCCTTAGGAGCTACCCTTTTCCTTTGTGATTTTCTGAAGACCTCTCTTTCCCGACCTTCTGCACTATTTTAAGTACTGTTTACCATTTTTCATTCACTACTCTTAAATTTGTGAACGCTTCTCACTTTTTTGGTTCTGTTTGTTTCAAGTACTTATTGTAAACTTTAGGAACCCTCCCGTGTAGTCACCACCGACCTTTCTCGGTTAGCAGTCAAATGGTTAACCACTGAGCCACCAGGGCTCCTTCCTGTATAGTTACCACTAAGTGATTATGCACTAAATATGAATCTTTTGTTTCTTGTTTATTGAGTTTGTAGGTAAAATGTATTTTTCTACATTATGGCTTATTGCTTAGTAAAATTGTTTCATAAATCCAACCTTTGTCATATTAGAATGTGTAGTGTTCACATGTTGCTCAGTTTTACTAACTGATAAATCATTGAAACTTACCTTCATTATGTATGGGTACTATTTTGTATTTGTGGTCAAGAGTGAGGTAAGGAAGCTCTACAGACCCCGAGAACCTCCCTGTCTATCCTTTCTTGGCCAACGATAGCATGTCTGTCTGTTTCCTGTCAATTCCTTCAACATATAGAGTAATCTCTATAAACAAAAGAACTTTCACCCAGCAACCAGATCAAGCAGCAACAGACAAAACAACCAGCCACTCTCCCAAATTACAGGCACCATTTTTTTTTCTTTGAAAAAAAGGAAAAGACAAAGAACAAGCAAAGAGTCAAATTAGCTTGTAAAGTTTAAAGGACCTTCCCTTTTCCTTTATGAATTTGATCAGTATGAAGTCATAAATCAAAGAAAACAGAATTGGATTTGCATTCCCAGGCGGGATGGAGGCTGCCAGGAGATCACATTGCAAACAGTGAGAACACAGAGGCATTCGATCTATGCCTGAGTCCTGTGTATGGGATCAATCTTTCTTTAATTCTGCAGTCTCCTCAGGCAATGTGATGTTATATGGGATGCAGTTTGCAGCTTTAGTGCCTTTCTTCGCCTTTTAAATCGCCACGAATCACAGATGGCTATTTAGTGGCCCTACAATGCTGCAACACGTCAGCTTGCATTTTAGTCTTAATTATTTGTTTCTTGGATAATGGGCAGAGTTTCTGTGTTTGTGTCAGCTGTTAGTGGTGAAATGGGCTCTAGTTAATCTTTTAATTTATGAAGTCCAATTTAGTGTTCCCGTGGCTAGTTGCAAGCATTTTACAGTGATCACCTAGTTTAATCTTTTGTATACTTTTTAGAAATGCCAACAGCCTTACTAAACTGAGCAGACTTATGATATAGTATTAATTTAGGTAGATGTTAGTCTTGAAGCTCTTATTTTGTGTGCAACCTATTATAAAAACATCTTAACCAAGTATTATTACACACATGATATCTATAACTAGGACTTTGATAACTGTTATATAAAGTGTGTAAAATTTGTATGAATAAATTTTTGTAAACAATGCAACTTCGTCTAATGTTTGGAGAAAAAAAAGACACCCAGGAAATAACCACTTTAAAATCTCTTAGAGTACTATATTTTCTTTAGCAACCATAAGATTTTTCATGTCTGGAATATATATCTATCTAAGCATCCCGGCATATAACAACAACAACAACAACAAGCATCCATGCATTTTCATAAACTATAATACTTGCTTTTGATGGGTTATTGGATTCAACTAAAAGTTTAAAGTAGCTACTCTGAGGGAGATGCCTAAGAAGATATTAAGCTCATAAATAGGCACAAATGTTTGAATAGTTATTAAATGCATAGTTTAGATTAATTTCTATCCCCTACTGTGTGTATCCATTGCTCAGTATTTAGGTTATTAGGCAATAGTGCGAAGTAGTGCCTGAGTATTAGTTATGCTCCTAAAATATCAACCTAGTATTGCTTCTTTATAAATAACTCTGCAGACCAAATTGGTCTTGATAAAATTTTATAAGAAAATGATTTAAATTATCAATTTAGGATGTCTTAAACCATGTTTAGAAATATACAAGCAGCTCTCTCTGATTAACATGCTTGAGATAAAAGGAACAAGAACAGGATCCGACTCATAGTGACCCTTCCTTGGGTTTCCGAGGCCCAGGTCGTATCACTACAGAAGTAGATTGCTTAATTTTCCTTCAGAGGAGTGGCTGTTCGGTTTGAACCGCCAGCCTTCTGGTTAGCAGTCAAATGCCTTAGGCCCTATGCCACCAGAACTCCCAAGACTTAATTAGAAACCTGTAAAAGAAAATGTACCATGATGCCTCATACAAAATGTGAAAAGACATTTGTGGATTATATGCTTTATTAATTCATATTAACAAACTTTAAAGCATAGCCTTTGACTGAAATTCTCATAAATACCCAGTGAATTTGTTTTTTCCAGAGCCCTTGGCTATTAAAAAATTATGGTATTGAGAGTCATTTATAGTAAGTCATATACTATTTGATTTGATTTTCATCCTAAAAATCAATGTATCTAATTAATAAATCAATAAATACAGCACAATGATATTAAAGAAACAGCAAGGATTCAAAAACTATCTTCTCAATTTAGCTCAGTATTTAAGCTCTACAATCATATAGGAAGGAGCCCATTATCTGGAAATTCCATTTGCAGTAGAAAAAAGACAATGAATATAGTACACTTTCATATTACATTGGGTTTTACTGGATAAGGAGTTTTTCTTTTCCATCTTCGAAACCTTCAGTGGGGATGCTAGTGTGGTAAATGCAAAAGTGAAGGAATAAGTTATTTGGTTGGTGGCTACTGATTTGTCAAGAAAGTAGAAATAAGCCCCAGATTTGGCTGACTTAAAGTCAGGTTCACGTATATGGTGGCTTGGTATATTCTCTTATGTGGGATAATACAAATTATGGTTTTTCTTAGGAAGCTTGATACATTTGGGTATCCCAAAAGCTATAACATGAGCCTTATTGCTACTAAGGCTGGACACACATTGATTCAATAGAATACACCTTTATTGAGCACCTAAAATGGACCAGGCACACTAGTTGAGAGAGCTTAACCTAACACCTGGAAATTATGGCAGTATTTTTCCAAAGAATGATTTTCTGCAACAGGATCACCTGGGAGGCTTGTTAATAATGCAAATTGCAGGGTTCCACCAGAACTAGTGAAATGATCTCTGGGATGGGGCCAGGAATTTGCATTTTAAATACAAACTCTGGATCATTGTGCACTGATGTTTGAGACTTCTTAGATGTACAATTTTGTGACAAATGTAGGGACATATTTGTGCTGGAGCTGAGAGGTTTTTCATATTAAGCAACAGATCATGCTACCTACACACAATAATAAATATACCAATAAGCGGAATCTCTCAGGATGGACACTATTAGGCTCTTTGAAAATGGCAATATTTACTTGAGGTCACTAAGGCCATTAGTGAGCATCATTTTATTTGTATCTTCTGGTTGTGCTTCGCTGTTAAAGGAGCTTCTCAGGAGAGTAATCTTATAAGTAGAGCCCCCAAAATTCAATCACATGAATTGAGAGATTAATGAAACAATTGGGTAAACCTATGCAGATGGTTGGAGGGAATTTGGAGGGATCCAGAAGCCAATTGAACTATATCCAAATTTGGTTTTAACCTGTCCCCAATTGTTTACGAGATGGTTTCACTTGGGTGTCCTGCCGTGACTTCAAACTCATCCTTCCTGTTCATACAGTTGTTTGGAAACCAAGATCCAGTTCTGATCCTTTCTCTTTCATCTTAATCCTTTGAAGAAGGGAGATGCTTGTTCCTTTTGCTACTGCCCACCACCTCACCACCGCATTCTGACTTTGATTTGTAGCTGGACACGCTCTTTTCCAACCAGGTAGTTTTAACTCCCTTTTAGTAATCACATTCTTCTGATGAGATATTCGGGAGCCG